AAAATTTTTATATTTACAAATTTTTAATTAAATCATATAAACCTTATTTAATTCATATTCTGCAACTTTTAGCATACTTTGAACTGAAAGATTCAAGATATGTCCAAAGCACCATATTGACTGGTGCATATTATCAAATTGAAACCCTGCTTGTAGCATTAATCTAGAAAGTTCATTTAAAAATTTGATATTGGCAGACGCATTATCACACATTATTGCTGCTAATTTTGAAATAATTACATTCTTTTAGAGACACTTTTTCATAGCATTTGCAATTGCAATGCCTGTGTGTGGCCCTTCCATTAGAATAAAATCAAGCAGAACATGTTTCATTTGCCATAACATATTTAAATAATGAACTGTAACAGCCATGAATGACTTTTTATTTGTGGCAGTAGTCCAAATATCTGTTGTTATAGCAATGTGCCCAGAAATTTCTTGTAAATTTTTTCTAAGCAATTTGTATTCTTGCTCAAAATTGTTCATAATGTGCAATTTAATAAGGCCTGCAATAGGTACTATAGAAATTATATTAGTATATATTACTAGTAAATATGCTGTAACTATATTTTATTTAATTTATTTACCTATTGCATGAGGCTCCAGATAAATAATTATTGCTCTAAGCTCTTCATCTTCAATGATTTGAAAAGGGCGATTATGCTTTACAATCTATCGTTTAATAAGATTAACAAGCTTTTTTTGACTAAAAGGTTCATAATTATAATTTTGCAAATTGGTTGATATATTTAAACTGATAGTATTTTCTTTAACAGTTAATCTTTGCAATTCAGGAATTTTATTTTTGTATAGTATAAGATGTTTTCAAAAATTTGATGTTATTCCATCTTTATATGTTAGCTTCTTTAAACAAATTCCACATTCTACACTTTCTATATTTTCTTTTTCTTTCTTAAAGTATTTCCATACAACAGACCTAAAAAAGTAGTATTAGCAATTAAAGAATTTTAAAAGCAATACTATTTAAATATTACCTAGTATTTATAGTATTTTCATCACTAGATAAAGGTACTGTCAGTAATAAAGATTTGCTAGTTTCAGCTTCATTTAAATGCAATTTATTTGTATATAATTCATCTGGATTATCTATATTTGTATATGATTCGTTCATAGATAGTTTTCTAAATATGATTCGTCTACATGTAATCTATCCAAATATGATTTTTTCTGATATAATTCATTTGAATATGACTCGACTGAATATGATTCATCTAAGAAAGGTTCATTTAGATATAGATAAGACGAACTATACTCATCAAAAAAATATAGCTTATCTTAATAATACAATTCATCTTGAGAATGTAGTTCATCTAGATATAAATAAGATAAACTATACTTATTAAGCACATCTTGAGAATATAAATTATCTTGAGGATGCAATTCATCTTGAGAACGTGGTTTATCCATATGAAGATAACATGAACTATACTTATCAAGCACAATTTGAGAGTATGGCTTATTTTGAGGTTGTAATACATCTTGAGAATGTGATTCATCTTGAGAATACATCGAAAAAGTTGACATTACAGAAGTTTAAAGTTAGCAAGTTTTAATATAAACAAGCTATTAATTTTAACTTTTTTTTGTTTCCAAATATTTAAATGGTTCTTAACAAATTAAAAATTTTA